GCTTTGTGCAGTTCGATTGTGAATATGCTTGTGTAAGACGTGTACTTTGATTGCAGAGAATACAAGCAACAATGGCATATTATTTTACCTACATTTGACCCAAAACGTGAGGTGATTTTTAGAGCTAGAAAAAATAATCTACTTGTTCTTAATGAAAATAGCCGTGGCTAGTGACTCATTTAGACGATGCAAAAGAACATAATCAAAAGGCTCAGAAAAATTTTCACCTGACAGGAAATCAAACGGCAACCTGAGCAAATAAATGGTGAAGTTCAGAAAAGCCAGTGCCGCCATGCATTCAAACAAGGCCGTTATCGATTTTCCAGAAGAAAACGCTGAATTTTCCTCTCCGCGGGTCACTGAATATACATTTTTCACGGACCTTCTCTCTTTGCGAGGGCTGATATCACTCACTTGGTGGTAGTAACATCTTTAACCAAGTGAGTGTTTTCATTGGGTGTCAGGAGTGACGGCAGATAAATGAACACAATGACCGGAACTGGAATGACATCATTTCAATTAGACTTGACAGGGTCTATACGTAATCAGCGCACACTCAAACAAACACTATAGCGATTATGACCATTTCAATTTCATTCCGAGAACTGCTGCTTGAAGGTTGCTTACATACAGTATTGATCGGAGCCTTTGATTATCTGATTATGTGGGGTTTGTCTTTTCAAAATTTAAATACATGGGTCGTCTGATAAAATTAGTAGGTGTTATGGGATATGTGCTTTTATGTTGGCTTTTACCAATTCGACCAGAACCACTCGATAGCACTATGAACGTTCTTGTATTATAAAGACTCTCATAAATATTGCTAACCAATTTCACACAGTTCTAGAGAAAGAATCAGCACGACTTTCTTTGTCAAAACGATCAACCTGTTTTGGAATATCTGGGATATCAGTCATTTTTACATTGAAAAGATATTTTATCAATGCCACATTTTTATCGCATTAGTTAAAATTTAAAAAAAAATGGTTTTGTCGTTTGAAGACCATGAACAAGAATAACATCTTGCTAAATTTACTGAACCACATAACATGACTGCAGCCGAGAATCTTGCGTTATTGCTCAACCGAACCACATACACTAACACGGTCAATAGAGTCAGGGTCACCCCAAGGTTATGACGCACAATGCATCATTCAGATAAAATGAACAGTAGCATCTAGTCAGCGGTGTTTGACGTCATATTTTTCAAGATCAATGGATTGCAGATCCTCAGAATAACTGTCACCTTGTTACATCATGCGAACCTGTTGGCAGCCGTTAAAATTTTAATTGAGCGCCAAACATGATCACCGGACACTTCCAGACAACTACCACAGATGTGATACCGCTTTTGTAAATATTTCGGGTTCAAATAAGTCTCATAAACTACTGCAGATTCACGTGAAATCTATTTCCTCCAACCTGAATTTCAGAGAAAATTGAGGCGTGCGTCTAAGGTTGGTTAGAAACGGGCGTTCACATTTCTGTGGCATCACCCCCGTTCCGGTTGTCTGAAATAGGAATGAGGAGAACATTCAAAATGATAGGCATGGCAGCAGGGAGGTTAATGTTTGATCCTTTTTGGAATGAAAGAGGAGCGGATGATGCACAGTTAACCAGAACAGTAAATCCCGACGCCCAGAAGAATAGCTCTCTTTGAGTATTAGAGGTGACACCTCGACTCATGATTTCATGAGGATCTTGGTGGCGGAGTATTTGGGAATTCCAGTGAGGGTTTTTCCGTAGTTAAAGTGACAGCTGGAAACTACTGTGTGGCTTCTTCATACTAATCTGTGATCTTCAAGTGTGTACACAAAAATAGGAATCTTAATTTTGCTGACCGCCTTAGTTGGTGACTCTATGGCAACATACCGATATAGGTTTGCTCCGAAAATTAGAACCAAAACGCGGAGGAAAACATCTCAGATAGGGGACCACCATCAACGGGACGTGTGTATTACGAGATAGAAAACAGTAGTTGTGGAAACCAAGAAAACTAGAACAATGGAACAGAAGGTTTGAATAGTTACCTGGTGAAGTCGGTTAACATGATGTGAACCTGGAATATTGTTGCTCAACATAAATGACCGTTGGTGACTTATTAAATTGCCCCGGTCTCAAAAAGTAAAATGTAGTTAGAAGTAGGCGATTTCTAAATGGAGACAATTTAAAAGCTCCGTTTCACAAATTAAGTATGAATGTAAACTAGGTAGTCTCGTTGGCACCAGTGTCGTACGAACCCCAGTTTAGGGGACATTTTCCATGAGGTGATAGTGCTACGACATAAGGTCAGACGAACACGGTGAGTTCGTCGAACATTTGTTACGATCGAACAGCAATTGCGACCGGAAACAAGGCAGTTTAAATTCGAACCATCTTTCAGCCGACTCTAATGATTACATCAGAGAGGCGTTGAGCCGGATCAAGAATTTATTACGTACGCCCACACCGGTTTTCGAGCGGTTGTTTCTTTGTCTCGGTTGATCATAGGTGGACGTCTGTGCGCTTGTGTACGGGGCGCCATGGAGTGGACGTGAAATTTTTATGTCGCCTTTTGACCTTTCTCCGGCACATGATGAAATCGGACGTGATTCAGACATTTAGGGGTAACCGCACGGCCCTGTTTGACATCATTGTTCAGCCGACCTAATGATTACATCAGAGAGGCGTTGAGCCGGATCAAGAATTTATTACGTACGCCCACACCGGTTTTCGAGCGGTTGTTTCTTTGTCTCGGTTGATCATAGGTGGACGTCTGTGCGCTTGTGTACGGGGCGCCATGGAGTGGACGTGAAATTTTTATGTCGCTTTTTGACCTTTCTCCGGCACATGATGAAATCGGACGTGATTCAGACGTTTAGGGCTAACCGCACGGCCCTGTTTGACATCATTGTTCCGCTGCGCAGTAGTTTTGTGCGCAGCCATATTAGTATCTGCTACAACAGGTATGATTTGTGAGGGGCGTATGTCGAAGATTAGAACAACATAGTTTCTGGCGGTAATCAGACTGGGTACTTCAACGCTGTACCATCATTGCACTGATATACGTCGGTATCCTAACGTCAAAGCTTCCGCAAATGGCCAGGGGATGCCTTAACCTGTAGTGGCTTCATATGGCTTAGACTGAAAAATTGGCTCTGGTAGCCAGGTCGTTATATGTTTGCAGGTTTTTTCGAGTTCCTGGCGGACCTTGCAGGTGGGGACAGGGGAGTTGTCAGAATAAATGATGTTCACACAACGTGACGATCTGCTGACTAAGTTCAAAGCATGAGAACAGGAGCAATGAGGAAGTGATAGGTTGAAAGAAGTATTGTCAAGTTGGAGGCAGGAGCATTGGTGAAACGAAATTAAAAGGAAAGAAATAGCCCAATAAATAGCGAGCAAATTACATACATTTATGATAAGTGCAACTTCATTGCCCGACCTGGCAGTCGAAATCCTATCATTGGTTGGCGATATAATATGAGGACACATCAAATCATGACTAATCAGCATCTACTCGGAGAGTTTTCAGTACATTCAGATTCTAATGACGGAGGCTTTCAATGGCAGTGACATGTGTCTCTCACGTTTCCACTGAGCATCAGTGGATTGAACCACACAAGCTAGAGTCAAATGTAGCTATATATTTGGGAAAGTAGGGCTTTAGCCGTGAGGTAGTGAGCCGTTAGGCTCGCCGTCAAAACAGCTGGTACGAGAAATGACTGAATAAAACGAGAATAAGTAATTTAACTCGGCCTAAAAATCTGACCACAGAGTTGCCACGTCGTACGCTCGAAATCGGTTTCGTTTTTCCCTCGTGCAAATTCGTGAAATTTTTTTCCGTTGCTCAATCTATTCACAGAGTACACACGAGTAATTGTTGAATTATATTACTCTAACCAAACATTTGAGTGATAACC